ATGAACTATCTCATTGCTGCTCTATTCAGCAAGTGGGTGGTTAAGCAGTGGAAATGAAATAGCAGATAGTGGTGGAACTGGGAATTCCTGCTGGAAAGATAATGAAATTCAAAGATAGGAAACTGGAGAAGGAAGCCAAGCAATGCTCAACCACAGAGATGAAACTACTTGCTTAAAAAAAAAAGATATTGTCACATAAGAACACAATAAAGCATTTACTTGCTCCCTTAATATCATTGTCCTATAGAGAAAGAGTATATAACAGATTTGGTAATTTATTTCCAGAGTTTAATTTTCATCCCAAAGGATCTTATCCCAGTTAAAATCTGGTCTTATCTGCTTCATACAATGAATGCGTCACACAAGCCTAACTTGCCTTTCTATGCAGACTGTGCATCTTTGGTGTGAGATGTGTATTGATAGTACTTAGTCCACATGCCATGGAAGTCATAAATACATTACTAATCAACATACTGATAAACTTGGAATAGTCTAAGACAAAACAATATAGAGAATGGCAAAAGGAGAACAGTGCCTCACGGTTAATACATGGCAGAAGTCTCCTTGACGTGTAGATGAGCAAGAGGAGTCAACGCGTTTTGTTTACTTACCTTCTCTCACAAAAGAGTTTTGATATTTTTGATTCATTCTCTGAGACAGAGAAATATAGTATTTAAGTTACCAAATCCAGGAATATATGTCTGAAGACGTTACTGAATTCATGCATTCTTCCAAATGGAAGTAAAGAGATTTCTGTCTCCCATATCTAAATCTGATTTTAATACAATTCAACAAAGGATTTAAAGGTATTTTACATGTGAACTTTTCACGTGAACATGAAAATAAGTGAGGACCTAAATTCTTACAGTTCTTTGTGTTCTTTTAAAGCTCCAATCTGAGAAGTAGACTGATAAAATACTGACTAGATAACATTTTTAATTTATTCATTATACTCTGATAATTTTTCAAATGAGTAATTACATTAATAAACTGGGCGTAGTTCTTTGAAGCTAAATTTAGAAAGTACCACGTTATCTGCATATAATAAACCTCATGTATCTCTCCTCCCTCTTTTACTATCACGTCTAGTGACAACTATTAAAAGCTTTTTAAAATACTCCTTTGCTCAGTTTAATAGGGATTTTTTACAATATCATTACACATTCTAATTGGGTGATTAGAGGCTTTATGCCAATAACAGAAATACAGGGTGAGTAACTGAATTACTGCAAGCTGTATAATAAAAAATGAGCTAAAAGAACCCTAACATTTTTAGAGGATCACACAGAGTGATAAAATCCAGAGGCAAGAATTAAGCAGCAGGGTTGGCACAGTGCTTTGCAGCCCCAGAACAAAGGAGCCCTCAAAAAGTCCTTAGGAAATCAACCCTTGAGAAAAGGATCCTCTAAAGACAATCTAGAGAAAGGATTTCGTGCTGTCCCTTACCCTCCTTTTTTTGGTTTCAGGAGGAAAAATAAATTGTGCCAGAGGGTTTTCTGCATGCAACCATTTTATTGGCAGCTTTGGCTAACATTACACCATATTCTTCGTCTGGTGAGAGGACTACCTCAGTACTATGCTAGCCTTGAACATTCTCCTTTGCCAGTAATGTGGTTGCACATTTGAGCCTTAAACACCATCTTAATGTGCCATGGATACCCACACATATGTGTGATAAGCTGTAGGGGACAATCTGTTACCTTATTTGGGTAGCATCAAGCAGAGGGAGGCTGAACACTGTTGCAGTGTTCGGAGAAGCTGTGTAGTCTCCTTCCTTGGAGATGCACAAAACCCAGCTAGATGTGGTCTGGGCAACCTTCTCTAGCTGACCCTGCTAGAGCAGGGAGGTTGGACAGCATGATATCCACAGATCCCTTCCAACCCAACCGTTTTCCAATTCTGTGACTCAGGTAGAGAGCTCATTACCGTATGCGTAACAGCATGCTAAGAAGTAAGAAACTAGTCCTGGCAGTGGGTTTCTGAAAGTTCCTCTAATGCTGTTCATGAATAAAGTGAAAACGTCCAAAGTGAGGCTGAAAACCCTAAAAACAGTGAGATATTTAATTTTGCTTAAAATATCTGCTAGAATCCTTCGTCCTCATCCTAGGCGAACTCCTCAACGTTAGCTCTTTTGGCTTCAGTCTCCGCTGGCTCAGCTTCTAAAAGCTCAATAGTTTCCAGTGTCGTCTCTGTAACTGGCCTTACTGCTGAGCTTCCTGGTCACACACTCCTTACTTTTTAACCCTTCACAGAAACAGTACCTCAAATGTCAAACCAGCAGGTCGTGTAAGACTCATGCTGACTCCCAGCAATTGTAAAATGATCTGCCTCAACCTCTTTATGTATTTTAGGGAAACATACTAGAAGCAGAGTTTACCAGGTATCAAACCTAATCACTCTTTACTGCAGGTAACTCTGAATTAGATTTCTATACAGTTCTCTGCCTCTTGTCTTACCGTTTATAAAATCATCTGATGAAGTCACACAAATTCATACAATTTGCACAGTCTAGATATATTATTATGCAATAGCAAGGGGTAGGAAAAAGAAAACTGTGTGTCATGGGGCAAGCTGCATGTCATCTTATATATGACAGAGTGTACAAATATGCATGACAAAATCTAATCATGGCTTAGCCTTAAAGACATCTCACATCTCTGGGACATTCAGTTGTGAAACACCATGGAAAAACAGTAGAGGTGGAAATGTATAGCTTGTAGAAATTAATAACATATATATATATAGAGATGAAATTCTTGAACATAGATGTCAGAAAATTCAAGTTTGGCACAGTTGAAAGGATTCCTTATGTCTTTAAAAAGTAAAAGTTGTGAAGATATCAGAGCACATAATGACATGACAGATTTTTCAAGATTTGAAGCAAACCTTTAGAATAGGTGGGAGAAAAAGTCCTTGCAGTAGCAGGAAGGATTTCAAGGCTCTTACTATTAGATAAACAAGCAAATAAATAGATGCAATAAGTGCCAAACAAGGCACAGAAGAGATGAAGCAGATTACTGATTCAGTTAAAAAAAACAAAAAACAAAACAAAAAAACAGAAGTTAGAGCAGACAGACTATGAGGTCTTCTACTTTTTTGCAAAATGTTTCCTGTTCTTAGGCACTGACTTTTGCTCTCTGCCTTGAAAGAGTTTCTCACCAGTAGGTATTCCTCTGACATGCATAGGCTAATATCAACTCTGGCTGCCTGCACAACAAAAAGGTTCTTCTGTAATTCTTACACAAGTAGCTTTATACAAGAGCAATGGGAAAGAACCTTGAGAATATAAGAAAATCCCTCCTTGTGTCAGACCAATGGTCCCTTTAGCCAGTATTCTTGCCTGGCAAGTAGGCAGGTTGATACAGCTGTGCTGCCATTTGGATCTTTGTAAAAACACTGATAAAGCCCAGTGACATAAGCAAGACCATGAAGTCTAAAATCCCGAAGAAAGTTATTGCTCTTGACTCACAGCACCTCATGATTGCTGGTTAGTACTGAAGGATGGAAATAGTCTTTCAAACTACAAGATGTGGAAGGAGCCCACTCTGTACTTGGTACTGTGTCTGTGTAGAGGCACGTGTGAGCTTTCTCTTTACCAGCTTGGCCAGAACAGCAATCGGGACAAAATAATGTGCAAATGCTCACCTTCCTCCTTGTGCTTGTAATTGCAATGAAGGAAGCATAGCTGTACCACCAATCTGCACTCCAAAAATGAGGTGAGGCGTAGAACCAAAGATACGATGTTTGCAATACAATAGGTAAAATGGTCACCCTTGAAATTCCCACAGCACCTTAAAAAGTTGCAAATCCTATTTTGCCTAGGCTGAGGACTTGAAAGGAAGGACTTAAAAAGTGCCATGTTCATACGGAGGAAAAAGAAGTGATCAAAAGAAGTAACGGGAGTTTGAAGGTCTTTTTCCTTGAGGGCAAGGTGATGGTGGGGGGTGCATGGAAATATGTAACAAGCGCTGGTCTGAGAACATGACGTACCCAATTCTATTTCAAGTCAGGTGACAACGAGGGGATATAAGAAAGCTTGCCCTTGAGACGCAGGTCAGAGACGCAGTTAGCTCAGGAGCTGTGACAGAAACATTGCTATGAAAATCCACCTCAACACAGGGTAATTAAATATGTCCTAATCTGCTTTTTTTGGTGCATTTCCAGTTGACAGCTCCTTGCACAGATAAGACTGAAGGTCAAAATCAAGAAAAGAACAAAACATGTCTCTGGACTGACCACAAATAACTTTATCTGCATCCTGCATCTTACTTTACCATGTTAATACGCACCCAGACTCAAGCTTACGTGGTTCTGAAAGTGACTTTGGTTATTCTATTACCCATTTATCTGCCAAACAAGCACTAGACTCAAAGTGACAGCTCAAAAACTGTGCCCTCTATTACTTTTTCTTGTTGAGAAGCAATTGCTGTATCAGCAAGAGAAAAGTCTCTCCAACATTTTATTATCAATATATACCGATGGTCCAGACATTCAGTCAGAAGACTGAAACTTGTTAAGCTGATGACATTCATTCGCAAATTTCTCTAGGTCTAGACTTCAGCCTGGGCCCTTCCTGCTTTATGGAAGCTCACATAAGACACCACTAAACAGTCTATCTGAAAACTGTTTAAGATAGGTCAGCAAAGTTTTGGGTTTTCAGTCATTCTTCCTATAAATAGGAAGCCTGGTTATTGATATAGCAAGCGAATGAACCTCAGAATGTTTGATATGGCAACGCAAAGTAGCTGAGTATTTTTATTTCTATTTAAGCTGACAGGACATAAGAAATTACAAAAACAGATCTCATCTAAGACGTGCAAAAGAAAATACGTTTCTTTTGACCACTGCTCTATCTCCCCACTGCCTACAGTGAGCTCCCTTTTTGCCTTCTCCACAACTTTTCCCCTTCGTGGATGGTTGTTCACTGCTTGCACGTTGCCTAGCCTTCACCACTTCACTGTGGCTTGGCGCAGCAAAGAATCAGAGTGGAACAAAGAATGTTGTTCTTATCTGACGTTTAATATCTGTTATAAGATCAGAAAAGACAGCAGAGATGGGACTAAAGTGTGCTGCTCAGGACAAATGCACTTGAACTTATGCTCAGCCAGAGCTATGTGACATAGAGAAGACCTAAGGTGACAAAATGAGAGCTCTGGGCTTGAGGGTCAACACACTTTTAATAATCATTTTTAATCATTTGATCCTCTCATGGCAAGCCCAAAGTGTAAATGATGCCACAAGAAAGGTTAAACATGTTTCCTCAGCCAGACATCAAGCACAAACGAGTGAAGTCATTAAAATAAAACAAAGATCTAAGGGACTGGGATTTTGTTTGAAGGCTATCATAAGCATGACTCTTCCTTTTTAGCATTTGGAAAAGGTCTCAGAGGTTTCAGAGAAGTGTCACCCTAGCAGAAACTTGACTTCAAGAATATTCTGGAAATTCTCCTCCTCTCTAGGAAAAGGTGACAATTCTCACACAGTCTCCCAAGAGAAAGCAGATACCAAATGTTTTATCTTTTGGTCTCAACAGATATTTTTCTTTCTTCCCATTTTCGTCTTCCTGTGTCTTTTGCACTTGTGTGTTGGACACATGTTGGAAGGTTGCAAGAACTGTCTTCAAAAAATGCAGTGACCTGTGTGAAAGAAGCAGCAACAGGCTTTAAGCATTGACAGACCATACTGCCATGTTTATTTTCAGAAAATTCTTAATATATGTCACTACAATTGATTACAAATTCTGCTCCCCAAGCCCACACACATTTCTGAAGAGATTACAGACTCAGAAAAGTAACAAGTAGTCCAAACACCCTCACGCTTTTGGTTTTGGTGGTATCTTGAAAGCTTTGCATAATCTCAAGCAACTTCAATTTACCTAATTATAATTTACACAAATTATCACCGGAGACCTCTAGGACACAGTGTGGCCTTTCTCCGTGCACAGCTGAATTGTTTTCCAGCAACAAATGCAACCTTTTGGTTGTAAATATGCTTTGCTTCCTCTACCAGAAATTCAGGGATCTCCACAACTCTTTTCTTTTATTTTTTTAGTGCTTGTCATGCAGGCCTTTCTTCTCAGTATTTTCTCAATGAACACTGACAATATTCAAAATAATAATGGAAAACAAAGTAGCATTGAAATATTTTCATTATAATGAACATTTATTGCTAAAGGTGTTATTCCCTAAATAGCTTTGCCTTTTCTATTGCAAATATTTGTAAATAAAGTTATTTACAATTTTTTTATTTGTAGCCTTCCACCTGGCTACACTGTGGATAACTAAGCGCTGCAGGTTGCAAAATTGTGGCAGGAAATATCAAAAAATTAGTATCACTACATAAAGTGTAACAAAATACACTAGTTCAATACACATTCTCTAAGGCAAAGTACAGAGAATTTCTCCCATTCTTTAGATTAATTTATCTTTTTGGCCAAGAAATGATAAAGTAATGATAACTCAGTACACAAAATGCCACTTTCAACCTACTTTGATGAGCATTCCTTCCTCCCTGTCCTCGGACCAGATCAATACAAGGGATAGACCAGGCAGCAATCAGCAGCCACCCTGGCCTCCTCAGAGTGCTGCTGCCTTAGGAAACATGGGAGCCAGCGCCTTGACACCACCTCCCACATTTACTCTTTGAAGCATAAAGCAACCACAGCCACGACCAATTCCAGCCCCAGCACTGACAATGATGAAGCTCAGACCGAAGCAGGAACTGGAGGCACAGCCATTAGCAATGGCTACCAACTTCACTCTCTCCCTGGACTACTGACTTCTCTTCCCCACTCCCTCTCTGATCACCTCCACAACAGCTCCTCTCAAAGCATCTCTTTTTTCTCCTCACTTTCTTCCTGTTTCGAACCCTAACACTAGGAAACAAGAAAGGGAAGAAGAACATATTAGCCAATTCCCTCCCACTCCTCTTTCTGCACCAGCGTTAACAGCCTAGAGAGCCGCGTTTCAGCAGCTCCGTTCAGGACGTTCTGTGCTTGCAAGAAACTAAGAAACTACCATGCAGGCCGAATCCACTCCTCAGGCACGTACTTGGCGTGACAAGAGACTGCAGTTTGCCATACTAATCTTTTGAAAAGACAGATGATGAGAACTATGTATGGAAGTGACAAAATAAGCTACTCAATAAGCACAGGAAAAAACTTACCAGAAACTGGACTTATATCCATTTAATATCAAGTAACAATTAGGCAGAACATTAGTGCCGACAACTTAACAGACTCCTTGTTGTCAAACACGAGATTTCAGAAACGGTGAACAGTATGTTGCTGCGTTAACCTAAGAAGTTAAAACAGCATATATCAATCCACCACAATTTTCTTTAGGCAAATAAATCACACCCAGTAAAGTTATTGAAGCTGATCCAGGCCAGTGTTCAATGCTGTGAAAGAGTTTTGTTCTGATGAAAGATAAACATGTATTTTAACTTTTCAGTTTTTGAGATTGCCCCTCCTTTCAGACAGTAATGCCTTCAGTACTAGAACTAATGGGGATTAACCACTGAAATAAAAAGTCAAAAGAGACAGCAAAAAAAGAAAACAGCTTGAATGAGAGAGGAAAGTTTGAGGAAAAAATAGACGATTAGCAGACATAGCATAGCTCACACTTGGTTACCCTGTGTCCACACTTTCATTTTGTTTATAGGTTGCATCCCTTCTCTCTTCTGGTGAGAGGCATGGAGGAGGGGAAGCTCATTATGGAAACTGATGGATGCCTTTGTTCACACACCTGAGCACCACAGATATGATGTTACCTCTTTCTACAGCTCTTTTCCCAATTACTTATGACTACACTAAAATACAAAGACTAACAACCTTTCTATTGGTAAGCCAAATCCAGTATTTCTGTAAAAATAAGAAATACTGACATACAAGAAAGCCCAGAGAAGGCTGCAATTAATATGTTGAAATAAGGACATGTTCCATACCTTAACTCCTCCAATGAACACAGCAAATAAAGGTTAAGTGATCTGAGAGGTCTGGGGTTTGCTCTGGGGTTTTTATATTTTCTATTAAGTTTTAAGGTTGCTGTCCATAGCGGTCTCATTAAATCTGTAGTTTTGTCTTTAACCATGCAAATGAAATTATACAGGGCTAAAGGTCCAGCTTGGCATTCTGTACGAACTACGGTCTGCATTATAAAGTAGGAGTTAGTATATACTAACAGACTCGTTAAGATAAAGTTGACCACAGCTGTTACTTTTTGATGCACATAACTGTGGCTTCAGAACAACAAGCTAACATGCTGTATAGGAAGACTGCATTTATTTCATTCAACCTTTTAAAGCGTGTAACACAACCATTCTGTAGCAAAGCAGCACCCATTGCATATTCTCAAAATATTTTGGTTCTCTAACCACTTCAGTCTTTCAAACTGTAGGAAAGGCTTTCCCCCCACCCCTTTTGTTAGACTATATGACAGCCCTTCATACCCTGTAGCAGGTGCAGAAGAAAAATGCTTTTCTATTAAGTCAGGAATGTCACTACTTGGGTCGTGAGACAGAAGGCAGACCTTCATCATTTTTGCAGAAGTTATCTCCTGGGAAAACCACCAGCATGTTTTATTTCCACACTATCAACTCACTCTTATCACAGACCATCATTCTTCAAAGACAGCTATTTGAATAACAGTTTAGACTTGAGACCCGCTGACAGTTGAAGAAACATCTGAAATTAAATGCAGTGGCTTACCAATAAAGTACTAAATATGAGTGAAGAGGGGAAAAAAAATAGCTGCACCATTATTTCACAGTGCTAGTTACACTACAGAGCCAGGAAAGGGTAGCCAGGTAAAGGGTGTTTTTATAAACATAAAATTCCTGAGGATCTGTATTCTCAGAGGAGAAAAAAAAATACAGTGAAAGACTGGAAATGAACATTCTACCAAAATCAACAATAGATGATAGTAAAGGTGAATTATAGGCAGATTCTTTGACAGTGGAAGGAATGGCAATTCACCTCCTTACCCACAGGCAAGGCTTAATTCCTACTGCACACATGTGGTGTTAGAATTTTATTCT